AGAAAAGAGTGTGTGAGCTGGGAAAGAGGATGTAGAAAGACCAGAAAGTTGGAAGAAAATCAGAAAGGTGTGGAATTGTGGAAGCCAAAGGATGTGGCAGTTTAAAAAAAGAAAGTGAGGAACCAGCAGATAGCATAATGGTTATATTGCTGGACTCCCATGTAGCCTACCATGGTTTGAGTCCTAGACCCGGCAGCTTAAAAACTTTGGGTGCGAGTGCATGTGTGCCCAAAATCCTAAGAGGAGAATAGAAGAGAAGGGATTGTGTGATCATCCTCCCTGGGGGTGATTTTTTGCTTTCTGTCTCTCTGTCCCTCTGGCGAGTGCATGCACTCTATAGCAAACATATCTTAAAGAGAGAGAGAGACAGAGAGAGAGAGAGAGAGAGAGAGCACACAAACACTGCTGAGACATCAGTTGCAAAGAAACCTTAAAGGTGTCCACTGGGGGACTAGCAGTTGGCACAGTGCTTTTGTCACTGGACTCCCACATAGTCAACTGTAGTTTGAGTCCTGGACCCAGTGGCTTAAACTCACACTGTGTGTGTGTGTGTGTGTGTGTGTGTGTGTGTGTGTGTCCCTAATCCTGAGACAAGAAAGGAGGAAAAGGGATTGTGGCATGGTCATCCCACTGGGGAGTGATTTCTTGCTTTCTCTCTCTCTGTCTTTCTGGCGAGAACATGCAAAAATCATCTGTGGGGTGATTTCTCCCTTTCTGTCTTTCTGACGAGTGCATGCACCCTATAGCAAAAATCTCTCTTTAAAATAAAAGTGTCCATTGGATTTAATGAAACTGAAGTCATTGGAAGGGACAGATCTAAGTTTCATGAAGGCCTGACCCATACAATTTTGGGGTCCTCTTTAAGACAAAGAATACAAAATTACAAATATACAATTAGGTATGAAGGTAAATATTTTTTACTAAAACATAGATTTCTTGACAGAAAGAGAGGGAATAGAGAGAGAAAGACAAGCACCCTTAACAGGGCCTCATCACACAAATCTTCAGAGCCCTCCTGGCTATCAAGGATTGTGGGCTCATGCATGTATGTCCAGAGTGCACAGGTGGAACTTTGAGACCAAATCCTGATCTTTCATGGGCCTTCAGCATTGCAGAACATTGCACTATGCTATACCACTGTTGCTGGTCCTGAAAGTGGTATTTATTTAGAATGAGGAAAGAAAATCCTTTCCCTAGCTAATAACAGAGTTTTAGAATGGCAGGTTCCTGTTTTCCCTTGACATTTCTTTAAACAGTTTGCCAGAAATGCTGCTCGATTGCAACCAGTGTTCTCCCCACTTAAAACACTTTGAATTCCACATTCACAGAGTTCATGAAACTGAAGGATTCAGAAGCTCCTACCTCATTAGCATAATCTGCCTCTGATTACTGGTGGCCTTAGAGAGCAGTTTTGTAGTTATGGTGGTAGCAGAAATCAGAAAGAGGGCTGAGAAACGAGTAAATGAAGAAGTAAGTGGAGAAAGAAAAGAGGTGGGTCAGTCAGTGGTGTGGTGGTTAAGGCAGGTAGATCCCATGTGGCTGGCTGCACAGTTTGAGTCCCAGGCCTTGTGACCCTCCCTTATGGGAGCACTTTCTCACTTTCTCTCTCTCTCTCTCCCCCTCTCTTCTGGGAGAGCATATACCCTCTGTCAAAATTAAAAACAAAACAAAACAAAAAAGACAAAAGGCAACTCTTTCAAGAAGTTTGGGTATAAGGGGGAGAGGAGAGATAGTTTGAAGTTGAAGGGGCATGAGAGGTCAAGGGACAAATTTTGGAGAAAATTGCATTGGAGAGATTTGAGTATTTTTAATTTAAATGAAAAGATGAGATCCAGAGCACATTTGGAAAGATGAGTCTTTGGGAGGAGGAATAAGACGTTATCTTTTGGAATAGGAGGGAAGAAAGGAAAGAAGGGGTCAGTGCAAGAAAGTTTCTTGATTTGACCGTGAATAAAACTTAAATTCATGTTTATTTTCTTAATGATTTATACAATGAAGTCATCACCAAAGATGGGGAATGGAGAGTGTGGGGATATGTGAGAGAATGGAGAAGGCTTTATGTAGTTGCTTTATGGTGTGAGAAAACAAATTTAGTAGACAGATGAGATGAGACCATTAGATAACATTATACATTATGGAAAGTGGTAGGGGTAAATAGATTTGAGGGAAATACAAGAGATACTGCAAGGGAGTCGCTGAGCAGGATCCCAGTGGCAATCATGGCTTCCCTGTATCTGACTGCATGGGCATGTAACAGCCTGATCCTTCTCATGTTACTGATATCAGATGAAAGTGTTCTCGGAAGCCTCCAATAAACACATGATAAAGAGCCTTGCTTGCAATTTTAAAGTTGTTTAGTGTGATCCAGGTATGTCTGAGCTGTATGGTGGGCTAATGAGAAGGTCCACCAAGGGCTGTGAGCCTTCTGGGAGTTTACGTTATTCTAAAGAAAGAGCAGTTTGAGGTAGAGAGTCATGGTCCAACTCAAGTGGGTCAGTGATGAAAGGAAGGGGTGCTTTGAATTCAGCATAGACATCATGGCCCAACTTCAAGAACTTCTCCTTGAGTTAGAGGAGAAAATTCTGTAGTCAAGAGTGAATTGAAATGAAGAACACTATTTGCTAAAATCTCTGAGGTCACTGAGGACACAGGATAGTGAAACTATTTGTGTAATGGAATATAGCACCGAGAGATAAAAGTTACCTGTCAAAATTAATTATAATAGCAACACAATAATTATAGTTATCATGGGGGGTTATATTGTAATTATTGTTGAGGGGATGGTTAAGAAATGAAGTTCCCATAATTGCACGTAGGGACAGAGCCATAGTTGTTATTTATTTATTTTTTTTATATTTTTTTTCCTTGGTCATGAGACTACTTTTGTAGCTTGGCTAGTATAGCCTAGATAGACACAACTTATATACTGGGTCATTAGGAAAGTTGTGACACATTGTTACATAGAAAAACATAGAAAAATACATCATGACTTTCCTGATGACAATTTCTAGTGTGCATATTTCTGGGGTTGTAACTGACAGCCTTGCAGGCAGATACCCATGCTGGTAATGGCTCAGCAATCTCTTAAGAACCCCAAATTCATGTAGCAGATGCTTTTCCATTCTAAAAATGACAAATTTAGTTAATATCAGAAAATGATAAACAGAAAACCCAGAAAAGCTTGGTTAGAATTCAATGCAAGTTCTAGGAGGAGCTCTATAAACTTGCAAAGACTTTTCTGAGGCTTGGCGGCTGGGTCTGATATGACTGATAGTATGGAAGGATGGAGATATGTTCAGGATTAGAAGTAATCTTTTAAGAATTGCTTTTTGGTTATTATTATTATTGCTATTATTTCTTAAAAGCAAAAATTTATGCAAATGCCTATGCTTTACTGAAAGCATTGCACCAAAAATTCCTCAAAACATCTTCTGGTGTCCTTCTCCATCTCCACACTCATATATGCCAAAGTAGCAAAGATTCTTCACATGATCTAGTCAAACTCCTCTTATTTTGCAGTTGGTAAAACTGAGGCCTGGAGAGGAGAAATGGGTTGATTGATTAATATCAAGTCTAGAACTCAAGTCTCCTTATTCTTTGTTTAGAGGGTCACTTGTAGACTTCAAGAGAGACCCCCTTGAAGGAGATTGCTAAAGACACAAACTCCTCACGTGAGCAAATATGTAGCTCATACTGCCCAAGAAGCCTAGGGATCTAAAAGAGGAAGGAACCAACTTTTCTTCTCTAGGTGGGATTGGTAATGGAACTATCCAAGTTAAAAAAAAAAATTCCTTGGGGCTCTGGATTGAAACTTGGTCCCTCACCTGTAGCTGGGCTGTTGCTGCAAGCATCTTCTGCCGAGTTTGCAGTACTGTGGATGAGGACATGGAGATAGGTACACTCTGCCTCAACCACCTTATATCTTCCCACATACAAGACAGCTGCAAAAGAAGTCACGAGGTCATATCATCATCCAAGCCAGTACATGATTTAGGTTGTGGCATCAAAGCAAAGCAGGGAGAAGGAAACCTGACCCCTGATGTTTGTTCTCCAGTCCATTTTCAGATACACGCAAAACAACTTTTTGATCTCTGTCCAATTGGAAAAAGATCTGAATGCTAATGAAACAGTCAGATCCACATTTTAGTGTTTGCCAAATGATCCCATAACTTAGAATAGTGGAGACACAGTCTGACAGGATGCAAGCTTCTTTGCTTTGAAAATGTAGTGTAGACACTACTTTGGTAGTTTTTTTAATGACATGTAGCATTTTAGGGCTGAAAGGGACCTTCAAGATAATTTACTTTCACTTCAATACTTTAATCATTGGAGACCTCTCAACTAAGGCTTTAGAGATTTATGTGCAGTAACATTGGTGCAAAGTAGGGAAAAGTGAAATTGGAACTCAGTATACCTTTGTAAACCACAGAAAATCTTGTGTAATGGAACTCGTGTGAGCGTCATCTATTTCAACAATCGGTATTTGATCTTCACTGGTGACTAACATATTGTCTTTGTAATAAAATATAACGGCTATGTAGAGTCCCCTAAAAAACAAAAAGTAAAACAAAAGTTGTCCTCAACCATCTCTACCAAGCTGAGTCTTTGAAAAAAAAAAGTATCCTTTGGACACGATAATCGAGATGATTTAAAATATATTTAGGA